TCACTCCCTCACACACACACACACACACACACACACACACACACACACACTCCCTCTCTCACACACACACACACACACACACACACACACTCACACTCACACACTTCATTATTGTGTTTGCTTCTCTAGTAAATAAATCTTGATTTAAGGATGTATAGATATTTGTACTGGAAACCAAGACAAAGAACGGTATCTGCATACAGCATATATTGTGGCATACATTTAAAACACATTTCTTACTTTCATGAATCATTTCTTAATGTTAATCTACATGAGTAAATCTCAATCAGTTTTACTGTATGTGTTTCTCGAGATGCTGCAGGTATGAGGTGTGTTTCTGTTTACTGTAAAATGAAACTCTTGTGTGACACTCCTGTTCCTCTGAACATATTTGATTAATGCTGATAGACAGATTTTGTTTAGGAAACCGCTCAGTTCTGACACACAAACTGCAGACTGATTTTTGCTTTATAAGGACAAGAACGTACAGTTTAGGGTTTCATATCACACTGTAGTCTGAGTGCCTGATTTAAGGTACAGTAATGATTATTCCAGTGATTCCAGAGTAATGCTACAGTGACACTCGAGAGAAATTGCACAAGAGAAACCCTTCACACACCAACACTGATGAGTTTGTCTCATAACTGATCAAACCTGATTCTTACGTTCAGTGAATGTAAGAGTCTTTGGCTGATTTCCCAGATTTCTCAGTGCTGCAGGTCGCATGTCGCACTAACCAGCTGTTACAAGATGAAAAAGAAATAAATCATTAAATCAGATGAAGTAAATGAATTCAGTGCAATTAATTGCCTTTAAATTACATGAGATTAAATCTCTCATTGAGCACTGATGAATCAAAATTATTCATCGAAATTCCTCTTCAGAATTTACTCTCATTTAGTTACACCCATCCTGTTTCAGAAGTTTAGTTCATATACAAATACGAATACAAATCATAAAGTACAAATTCTGTAATCTGAAATAATTTCCAAACAGCACGAAGAACATTTCAAATTGTTATCATAAACTAATATATAACAATGTTAGCATAGATTATCTACAGGTGCATCTCAATAAATTAGAATGTCGTGGAAAAGTTCATTTATTTCATTAATTCAACTCAAATTGTGAAACTAACTTTGCAGGTGTTTTGAGTTGATTAGCTGACTGGCATGTCACCATATTCTAATTTGTTGAGATAGTGAATTGGTGGGTTTTTGTTAAATGTGAGCCAAAATCATCACAATTAAAAGAACCAAAGACTTAAACTACTTTAGTCTGTGTGCATTGCATTTATTTAATACACGAGTTTCACAATTTGAGTTGAATTACTGAAATAAATGAACTTTTCCAAGACATTCTAATTTATTGAGATGCACCTGTATACATATATATTACGCCTGATATTGTCTGCTATAGAATAAGGGGCTGAAGCCATGTGATTCACCTGGTCCCACCCTTTTTATTTACATGCTTCACATGCTGCTTACTGAGCTGAACTTGTATTGTTCTTGTATCTTGTATCTGACACTTTCCATTTAAGCCTCATGAGTCAGTTTTTACTTTTCCACTTCTGTCTCTATAGCGTAGCATGCTGATGCTGGGGTCAGCAGGGTGAAGTCAGTTCTACACAACAAGGCTAAAGTGAAGAAAGACAAACTTAAGGATGTGGTTGGCGAAGATCAATACACATATCCACAATCTTCTGGATGAGCGATTTGAGCCACGTCCCACTGAAGATATTCTACAGGATGCAGAAAGTCTTGTGGGAAAGGTACTTCAATATGATCTGAGTGCAAGAAACTGTGAGCACTTCGTTACGCTGTTGAGATATGGAAAGCCACAGTCCCAGCAGGTACAGCATGACCTCACATACAGAATTATACTGTACCCATAAATGTCTCAAATTTGACTACATTACAGACTATATAATGCCAAAAAATGTTTTCACACAGTGACTTAAAAAACGAATAATAAGATAGATAAAAAAAATTAATAAGACAGAGCCTTTGCGGTTGCTGGCCCTAGAACAGCCTTCCAGCCTATATCAGACCGGCACAGTCTTTAACTGATTTAAATCATCTCTTAAAACCTATTTCTTCTCTTTGGCTTTCTATTAATTGTAAGTTTAAGGTATGAATCTGTGGGTTGCCCTGTGTTCTATGTCTTTGTTTGTTCAGCACTTTGGCCAGGGGTGTTTGCTGTTTTTAAATGTGCTATATAAATAAAACAAACTTGAAACTTTCTGTTCATTCTTACAGGTGTAAGATGCAGTAAATGCTGGTACTGCTGTTCTCGCCATTCTTGCTGCTGCAGCAGTTGTCCTTGGAATACTTGCTGTTGCTACTTCAAGAGACAAAAAGAAGCAAGATAAATAAACATGGAAATGGGAAATGAAGAAATAAAAGTACAGAACAGAACAATTGTAGAGGCCGTTGATTATTCAAAGTCAGTTACATGTAAATAAATTGTTTAAATACACAATTAAACTTTAATGTAAGTATAGACACAAGCCCAAGCACCAATGACACATGTATCTTATGATGTGGTTTTTACAGAAAATTCCATCTTGAATCTTCACAAAAAATTTGGGTTTAATCATAATATGTGTGATGTGTGTGTGAACTCATATTCACCATTTAAATTCAGATGAATTGCATGTCACAGGGCAATTTCAAATAAATGTGAAAATATAATTTGCAGCTCAAAACTACGGTGACTGAGAGGGGACATGTTCAGTTCACATGTCGAGGCAGGAGTTTAATGCGTCAACAAACCTGCATAGCAACCTGGGGTTATCAGAGATGGATTTATTCATATATTATTTTGAATTAAGAAATTATTATATTAATTATAATAGAAATTATTACATTATTAAATTATTATATTAAGCCTAGTAGGCCTAGGCTACCGGACTGTATCGCGCGCAATGTGCATTCGAATAAATGTTATAATGAATAAATGTTACATAAAGTACATAAAATAAAATAGGCCTACAAGAGAACATTTGTTAGTCTGTTCTTGGCCTGGAAGATTTTATCCTCACTTCTGTAAGCATCCTCTTTGGCGTGACGA